GGGTTGTTAACCAATGTCATAAAACAATATGTGTACTACTGTTTCATGAGAAACTATTTGTTCTGTAAGCCTTCACCTGAAGTACAATTAAAAAAAAAAAAGGGGGGGGGGGAACGTCCTCTAAGGTAGAGAAGAGAGAGTGTTGACATGCCATGGGGTTGTTAACCAATGTCATAAAACAATATATGTACTGATTGTTTAATGAGAAACTATTTGTTCTGTAAACCTCCATCTACAGTACAAAAAAAAAAAAAATGGAAAACAACAGGTGTTGGTGAGGTTTTGGAGAAACTGGAATCCTCGATTGCTGGTGGAAATGTCAAATGGTACAGCCATTGTGGAAAAGTTTGGCAGTTCCTCAAAAACTTGAACACAGACTCAAACAAACCAACGGTCCTGAATATGGCACAAGACAGAGCAATATTTTGTTCTGTTATACGTAAGGAATCCATGAACTGGAGCTGACTCAACGGCAACTAAGAACATGGCTCCCTAAACCTTTCTCAACCATTGTACCTTTATTAATGCTATCCCTCCTTTAGAAAAAAAAGTTCTCCTAGACACATCCACACATTTTGAGGGACCGAGTTGCTGGGCCTGAGGGCTAGGGACTATGGTCTCGGGAGACATCTAGGTCAATTGGCATAACACAGTTCATAAAGAAAGTGTTCTACATCCTACTTTGGTGAATGGCATCAGGAGTCTTAAAAACCTGCAAGTGGCCATCTAAGATACATCTATTGGTCCTATCCCTTCCAGAGCAAAGGAGAATGAAGAAAACCAAAGACATAAGGAAAATATTAGCTCAAAGTGCTAAAGGACCACATGAACGACTGCCTCCACCAACCTGAGCCCAGAAGAACTAGATGGTGCCCAGCTACCACCCCCGACCACTCTGACAGGGATCACAATAGAGGGTCCTGGACAGAGTGGGAGAAAAATTTAGAACAAACTTAAAATTCACAAAAAAAGACCAGGCTTACTGGTCTGACAAGACTGGAGGAACGCCTGAGACTATGCCCCTCCCAGACACCCTGCTAACTCAGAACTGAAACCACTCCCAAAGACCACTTCAGCCAAAGATTAGACATGCCTATAAAACAAACAATAACACGTGTGTGGAATGTGCCTCTTAGTTTAATCAAATATAAGAGACCAAATGGGCAACACCTGCCCAAAAGCACACATGAGAAGGCAGGAAAGGACAGGCAAACTGGATGAATGGACACGGGAGAAAACAGGGTGGAAAGGCGGAGATTGCTGACACATTTCGGGGATTTCAACCAATGTCACAAAACAATTTGTGTATAAATTTTTGAAAGAGAAACTAATTTGTGCTGTAAACTTTCACCTAAAGCACAATTAAAAAAAAAAGTTCTCGTGACTACAAGTACCTAAAATTCTACCCATTGTTTTAGAGAAACTCAATTTCTTTTCTTCTCTTATAAAAATGACTACTAAGTCAGAATTCTGGATATCTGGTCTTACTTTTGCTACTAGAACTATGTGTTCTTGAGTAAGTCCCTTAATCTTTCTAATTTCAGCTATAAAAAGAGGGTATCAGATCTCTAAGTTTCCTTCCAATTGTAACACTCCACAATTCCCTTCCTGACTTCACAAAGAACTCAAAATTACAAGTTTCATTATAACATTCATATGTATTTTTTTGTGTTATCAGTAAGTCTCTTAGTGCTCATCCACTTTCAGATATAACAAAGATGCTAATAATTAGGATGGCTAGCCCAAGAAAAAGATATCAGCTTCCTATTTTTTATATGCCGTATCTCCTCTACTAAATTACAAATTTCTTGATAGCACGAACCATCTACGTCTTGAATAAAGGCTCTTAACAATATTATTGAATAAGAAAAGTTTGCACTTGATAGTACAAACAAAAATGCTAAATTGAATATCATACTGTTTTCTAAATGTTTTGTTCTTGTCTTTTTTTTATTGGAATATAAACTCCTTCATGGTATACATTATAAATTCCTTTTATATTCCCTGTATTACCTACACTACACCACATGAACACACCCATTGCCGTCAAGTCGATTCTGACTCACAGTGACCCTATACAACAGAGTAGAACTGCCCCATAGGATTTCCAAGGAGCAGCTGGTGGATTCCAACCGCTGACCTTTTGGTTAGCAGCTGAGCTTTTAACCACTGTGCCGCCAGGGCTCCAGGCATATATATGGCATTGCGGGGAGGAGTGAGTTTGTTGAAAGTAGACTGAGAAATCTTTATATATCCCATTTATTTGTTCCTATACAAGAGTTGGAAAGATTCGAGTTGAGGAGCATAGGAACAGAAGGCATGAAACCATAACTACCACCATCTTTATGTACCACTGCTACCACCACCAACATCATCTCAAAGGGAAAATTAGGTAAGGGGTAAGTAAGATAGGGTGAGGAGAAAAAAGAAAGCATAGATGCATTGTTAACTAACAGCAAGAAAAAAGATATGCTCAGGATGCTCAGCCTGATTTCAAGAGCATGTAAAAATAACTTGGGCCTTTTCTATTATCACAGGAAAACATGTAAACTGTTATAATTAATAATTATAATTTCAAGGTGGTTTGTATATTTTTCCCACCATCCCATCTCCGCAGTACAATCAATTTCAAAACAAATCAGCATGTGTTCTTCATCAAACTGTTACATATTATCATTGGTTCTCAGATATAGAAGGTAAACATTAATAATTACTAAGGCAAAAACAAATACAGCAGAAGAGCTACATAGCTTCATGATTCTTACCTGTTCACTCTTCTAGGACACTTGTCTGGTTTAATATCCACCTCATAGAGGTAGACATCAATCTTTGGGATTTCAACTTGAAAACAGTTAGCCAGCAGTTTAATGGGTTTGCCCATGGTGCCATAGCCAGGTCGTCTGGGCACCATGAGTAGGGGCTGGGCCCCAACGGGTCCTGCCAGGGAAGGAAAAAGAAAAAGAGTAACATCATTATAAGCTGCATTTGATAATCTTATCAACCAGAGTATGTCAAAATTATAAGTACAACCGATAAATAGTTGAGGCCTAGTGCTGAAAGATAACATCATTCCTAACATTTCAACCTCCTTCATCCCCATTTCCTTTCTTCATTTTAAAAAAAAACTGTCTATCTCTGGAAAATTGTTTTAGAATTAGGTAGAGAGAAGGAAGAATGATCACGCAAGCCCAAGTGACCATAAGCAAGCACAAGACAGACCCAGGGAGTGTGAGAACAGCAAAGTAAACTCAAAGAAAATGGAAGGAAATAATAAAGAGCAAAAATGAACCAAATAAAAACAATATACAATAAAAAGGATTATCCGAAAAGATAAACAAAGCTCATAAACTCTAAACAAGACTGATTTTTTAAAAATGAGAAAAAACGTATAATCTATATCAAAAGTGAAAAAAAATGGCAACACTATAGATACTGAAGATGTTATATTGTGCCAATAAATTTGAAAATTTGATGAAATAGACAAATTCCTTGAAAAATACAACTTACTGACACACAAAAGTACATAAAATCTGAAAAGTTCTATAGCTATTTAAACAAAATTAAATCTAAAATGAAAAAATATTTTCACACACACAAAAAGGATTCCTGACCCAAACAGGTTCACTAGAATTATATCAACCATTTAAGAAAAAAAAAAAATTACACCAATCTCATACAAAGTTTTCCAGAGAACAGGAAAAAGTGAACATACCCCAATTCAACTTACGATGCCAGAAAAACCCTGACACTAAAACGTGACAAGGACATTATGAAAACGAAAAATCATAGGCCAATCTTATTCATGAACATACATGCAAAATTTCTAATCAAAAGGTTAGCAAATTAAATCCAGCAATATATCAAAAGGATAATATATCATGACCAAGATGGGTTTAGAACAGGAATAAAAGATTGGGTTAACAATCAAAAAGCAATGTACAGTAATTCAATCAACAGAATAAAGAATAAATACCTAGATATAAAAACAATTTCTGAATTTTGTCCAACATATACTTGTGGGGGTGGGGGGGTAAAATTTAGAGACCTAGGAATAGAAGGAAAGTTCCTTAATCTGGTAAACGGTCTCTAGAAACAACCTACAGCAAATATCATGCTTAATGGTGAAATACTGAAAGCTTTCTCCCTGAGATTGAGAATGAGACAATGCTGCTAGCTATTACCACTTTTGTTCAACATTTTGACACAGGTGCTAGCCAGAAAAGTGAGGCAAGAAAAAGAAATAAGTACGGTAAAACCTGCGAGAGCCAGAACCTGTATAAAGTGGAAACTTGTCAGAGAAGGAAAACTCAAAATATTTTCCACTAACAGAGAGCCATAGAAAAACAATAAAACTGCACACTGTCAAAGGTAGAAAACTCGTGAGACCCAGAAAAACAAGGCTGTTCTGTTGAGTTCCGGCTCTCATAGGTTTCACAGTATAAAGCTTTGGAAGGGAAGAAATAAACCCGCCATTATAGACAAATCTACAAACAAATAATAAGAATTAGTAAGTGATATAATGATGTTCACTGCAGCACTGTTTGTAAGAGCAAAAAGGTGGAAATAACCCAAGTGTCCATCAACAGATTAATGGATAAACAAAATGTGGTACATACATACAATGGACTACTACTCAGCCTGAAAGAAAAATAAAGACCTGATACATGCAACAACATGGACGAACCTCACAGACATTATGCTGAGTAAAATAAGTCAATCACAAAAGAATATTATATGGTCCCACTTATATGAAGTGACAAGAATAGGTAATTATATAGAGTCCAATGGTTACTAGGGGTTACAGAGGCAGGAGAGAGGAGGGAAAGGGAAAATCTTTCTCTGGGAAGTAGTGAATTTTTGTTTATGGTGATAGGAAAATTGGCATCAACTAAGGGTAATGGTTACACAACTTGACTCAATATAGTTGTTATCACTAAGCTGTATACCAGAAAAAAAAAGTGGGGAGGTGAAAAGGCAAATACAGTGTTATATATAATTTTACAAACACAGCAGCAGCCAAAAATAAGAAAGAAAGAAAAAAAAAAAAAAAAACGCTGCAGTTGTTGATACTACTTAGGTACAACTAAACACCTCGTGGGATTAGTTTTCTTGGTTCAAAGGTTTTGTGGGTCTGTCCAGTCCACTTGCCTAATGTTGTCTTTAGAGTTTGTGTTCTACTTCCTAGTTCAATGTGTAGTGCCTGGGGTCTTAGAAGTTTGCCAGCGGCCAGCCAAGATACAATTGGTCTCTATTCACCTGGAGCAACAGAAGGAGATCCAGAAATCAGAGAAGGAACTGGACTGTAGGTTTAATTGCCTCCATGAACTACTATATCCTCTGCCATGAAACCAGAAGAAATGAGCAGTGCTCAGCCACCATTACTGCACATTTTGATCAAGGACCCAAGATGCAGATTCTGATCAAAAGGAGGAAAATGTACAACAGAACTTCAAATTCATATGGGAACCAGACTTACTGGATCCATTGAGACTGGGGAAACCCCCGAATCTACTGCCTGGAAAGAATCTTTAAACCTTGAACCAAACTATCACAGAGTCATCTTTAAGCTAAACAACAGATTAGCTCAATTACTAAAGAATGTCTGCCCTGAGCATTGCACTCTTTTAAAGAATTATATATATGAGATTAAACCGACAATAGTAACTCTAAAGCACAGATGTGAGCTTTACAGGGCAGAAAGTCTAAGTTAATGGTAGCGAAACAATATGGGTAGAGATAGTGAGTATGGTGACAAAATGTGAAGTATGTAACCAATGTCACTGAAATGTACATGCAGAAATTACTGAATAAATGTATGTTTTACTGTGTATATTTCCACCCAAAAAATAAGTGAGTTTAGCAAGTTTGCTGGGTAGTTGAATATATAAAAATCAACTGTTTGAAATTTTTTTTAATAGATAACATTTTAATAACATCAAAAAAAAAAAAAAAACTAGAATAGCCACTCTCTCCACTCTTATTCAACACAGGGCTACAAGTGCCAGTGCAGTAAGGCAAGAAAAGGAAATAAAAGGCATACAGACTGGAAAGGAAGAATATAAAACTGTCCCTGTTTGCAGACAAATGACTGTCTACATTGAAAATCCTCAAGAATCTACCAAAACAAACAAGCAACCTTCCACAAGAAAAATCTTTCTAGAACTAAGAAGTGAGTTAAGCAATGATCACAGGATATAGGATTAAGGCAAAAATCAATCACATTTCTATAAACCAACAACAAACATGTGGAAACCAAAATTTAAAAACTCAGTATAATTACAATCATACCAAAGAAAATGAAATACTTACGTGTAAATCTAACAAAACAAAGCAAAGCCTTTTGAGGAACTGTCGGACTGTTTTCCAATCCTTAGGAATGTGTCTGTTTAACTGTACTGGTATTTTTATTAGAATTGTCACTGTTCTTATTATGCTCTATGCACAGGTTTCAACTGGTCAGCTCCAAACCTATTTTTTCCTTCCACTGAGGCTTATGAGGACTATATATACCACATTATAGCAGAAACACCTGTGTATCCTTTTATAGCTTTTAAAATTTTGAATAATACGTTGTTACTACCTTTTTTAAAAAAAAAAAAACAAGGTAAGGTTTACTTTGCTAATGAAACAAAGTATCCACTTTATGGAATATAAGGAACTTCAGAGTTTGTGTTCACCCCATTCTACATCCCTTTTCCAAGTCATATTCTGGGAAAGAGGTTGTAATCAGTAGTTGAATATCTCATTGTGGTGATTAAAGACAGCAACAAATTCTTTGCCATTCCTTCATAAAGAGGTATCTATTTTCCCTCCCGCAGGAGAAAGATGTGGCAGTCTGCTTCTGTAAAGATTTACAGCCTTGGAAACTACAGGACAGTTCTACTGAGTCCTAAGGGTCGCTAGGAGTTGGAATTGACTCTACGGCAGTGGGTTTTGTTCTTGTTTTTGAATCTGGGCTGGCTTTGTGACTTGTTTTGATCAATAGAATTCAGATGTAGTTCTGAGGCTGGGTTTTAAAAGATCTACAGCTTCTGCCTTTGCCTTTTGGAATGATATTTCAGGCATACCCCCCAACAGAACCTACGTTTCCCCACAAAATGCCTCTTGGTTTTTAATACCTAAATTTCTTAGAATGTTTAAACATCTCTCAATACAATGTTTTTCAAATTATTTTTATATTTACACTATGTTCCCAAAACTCAACACAACTTTTTTTTCTAAAGAAAACAATGTGAGCAGGAAAAGTCTCAAGTTACATTTGAATAGAACTGGTAGAATTTCAGAAATTACAAGTATCAACAAAGGGAATGTGACTTTTGAATGCTGCTAGTGTTAAACGAGGCCATGTTTTAAAAGCAACTGTTTGAATAACCGTATTAACTATCTGTGATCAGGAAGGATGTTTTCAAGCATTTTACATCCTAACATGATACTTCATTACTTACATACAGGTATTTTAATCTGTTTTAGTTACATTTTTGAAAATTAGTTGAGGTTACATTGACATCTAACACATTATATAATTTTTTCCACTTAAAACAACAGGAAATAGTCTCCCAGTTAGCGGTCGTCATGCAGAATGTCTGACTTTCAGGAACAGATTAATGCCTGTTCTTCTGCTCAGTTCTTCCATGCTTTTAAGAAGGCATTCTGTTCTATTTTATCCAGATTGTGAAGGTTTCTTCAGTGGGAGTTGTGAACCTAATAAAATAACTTGCCTGCTGTCAACAGAGAAAATTCTATAGTTGTTTGTTTAACCACCTGTCTTTTCATATAGATGATGACTGATCTGAAGACAGAATTGTGAGTGATTTGTATTTCTATCCCTAATGCATAAGAGCACGTCATTTAACTCTGTTTCTGATTCCATGATCACAGAGCAACTTTCTGATTAACATTTGGATACCCATACAGGCCACCTGAGGGGGATAAGTTGCTAACTAGCAAATATGAGTGTTAATGCCCTGGAAATAATATTTTTCATTGCAAAATATTAAACTGGAATTACAATGATCAGCTCTGGATGCCCCGACAAAACCAAGGGTCAGGACCTGAAAAGCAGGTGGCTAGATTCTGTAACACAGTGACCCTATTAAGATAATATGTCATAAGTTTCTGCCTGAGTAATCAGAATCATTTCCACTACATTTTCAATTTTAACAGTAGTAAACATAATGTATATAAAATTTTATATTCTGTTTCCACTTAACATTATAAGCATTTTTGTATTTGGTCATTAAACATTATAATTTTAATGATCATACAATAATCCACTGAGTCAGGATATTTAGGTTGCTTCCAATTTTTCACTATTACAAATAGTGAAATATAAACCATTGTACTAGAGATTCATTAGACTGTATGTCCAACACACCCCCACCTCTATCCTCCACCTACTTTCTCTTCTCTTGGAAACTGTACACCCTATCAATTACATGAATACCACCAGAGTTGCTATTTTCCTACATGATCTTGATCTCAGAGTTGACTGGTCAAGGATGGACATCATATCCAATACAGAGCAAAGAGTCCTTCCCATGGAACTTTCATTTATTTATTTATTTGGTCTTTTAACTTGGGACCTGAGCAACTAATAGGGCATTTTCTTTCCAGTGGCTAGAGCTGTGAGATATAATAGCTGTTGGAGGCCAGATGTCCCGATGTGTAGAAAAACCCAGTCAACAGTGAGAGAAAATGAAAGCTACATGTAAAGAGGACTCAAAATAAGAGATGGAGCAGTCTGATACCGGGAGTTTCTGGATCACTTGCTCCAGATGCAGGCCAGCTGCAAACCTATTATTCTGTTGCTATTCAACCTTCCTTGGATTCCACAAGCCAATAAATTTCCCTTTTTGCTTAAATCAGTTCCAAACTGGATTTCTGTCATTTGTAAATAAAAGTCCTAACTGATAAAGCAGTAATTTAATCAAATTAATCAATTCAATTGAAGCAGCAGTCTCAGATCTCATATCAAATTACTAAGCTCTATGACAATGGGAAAGCCACAACTTTTAAGTCTCAGTTACCTTATCTTTAAAATGAGATAAAGCCACCTACACTTTCTACATGTGCCTGGCACTTAAGTCATAAAAAAACAGCATCTACAACAATATGCCAAACAATATGCTAAGTGCGTTTCCCTGCATTCAGCACCAACTCTTTTATTTGGGAAGGTGGAACTGGCACAAACAATATTTTCCTTAGGATAAATGTCTGAAGTAGAACTGCCAGGTAAAAGAGTATGAACAGAAACATATTTCTGACTGTTGATATTTATGCTAAACTGCAACATGAATACATTACTAACACCAGTTCTCTCTCTCTTACCCTCTCTAGCATTAGGCAGTAAAATGAAAAAAACCTTTTAAAGGGCTAAAAATACTTTCTGCCATTTTATTTACATACGATTACTATCAAGATCCACCATGCGTCTGTCAGTTTGTCGCACTGTGGTGGCTTGCATGTTGCTGTGACACTGGAAGCTTTGTCACCGCTATTTCAAATACCAGCAGGGTTACCCTTGGTGGACAGGTTTCCACTGAGCTTCCAGACTAAGACAGACAAGGAAAAAGGACCTGGTAGTCTACTTCTGAAAAAACTGGCTAGTGAAAACCTTATGAATAGCAGTGGAACATTGTCTGAATCAGCGTCAGAAGATGAGCACCTTAGGTTGGAAGGCACTCAAAAGACAACTGGGGAAGAGATGCCTCCTCAAAGTAGAGTCGACCTTAATGATGTGGATGGAGTCAAGCCTTCAGGATCTCCATTTGCAGATGTGGCACAACTTAAAATGAGAACAGCTGCAAACATCCAATAATAATCAGAACCTGGAACATACAAAGTATGAATCTCCGAAAATTGGAAGTTGTCAAAAATGAAATGGAATGCATAAACACTGATATCCTAGGCATTAGTGAGCTGATATGGACTGGTACTGGCCATTTTGAATCAGGCAATAATATGGTCTACTATGCCGGGAATGACAACTTGAAGAGGAATGGTGTTGCATTCATCATCAAAAAGAACACTTCAAGATCTATCCTGAAGTACAATGCTGTCAGTTATAGGATAATATCCATACGCCTACAAGGAAGACAACATATTCAAATTTAATATGACTATAAAATTGGTTAATACGACTATTATTCAAATTTATGCACCAACCACTAAGGTCAAAGATGAAGAAATTGGAGATTTTTACCAACTTCTTCAGTCTGAAATTGATCAAACATGCAATCAAGATGCATCAATAATTAGTGGCAATTGGAATGCAAAAGTTAGAAACAAAGAAGAAGGATTGGTAGTTGGAAAATATGGCCTTGGTGACAGAAACGATGCTGGAGATTGCATGCAAGAATTTTTCAAGACCGATGACTTACTCATTGCAAATACCTTCTTTCAACAACATAAACGGACACTATATACATGGACCTCGCCAGATGGAATACACAGGAATCAAACTGACTACATCTGTGGAAAACAACAATGGAAAAGCTTAATATCATCAGTCAGAACAAGGCCAGGGGCCGACTGTGGAACAGACCATCAAGTGCTCTTATGCAACTTCAAGTTGAAACTGAAGAAAATTAGAACAAGTCCACGAGAGCCAAAGTATGACCTTAAGCATATCCCACCTGAATGTAGAGACCATCTCCAGAATAGATGTGACACCTTGAACATTAATGACCAAAGAAAAGACAAGTTGTGTAATGACGTCAAAGACATCACACATGAAGAAAGCAGGAGGTTATTAAAAAAACCAGGAAAGAGGCAGGGCCAAGATGGCAGAGTAGTCAGATGCTTCCTGTGGTTCCCTGT